CGTCAATTTGGAAGCTGGGGTCCAGAAGTAACTACGAAGTTTGATCCTCAAAAGGAGACTTATGTCATGGTAGGTGATATCTATCTTTATTGATTTTAAAATTTTTATTGAAAAGATAGAAATATACAAACGCTCCCTGGGAATTAGAAGGAAAGTTTCCAGTTGGAAGAAATTAAAGGAATCCAGTCAGGGAACTTCTTTGGATTTCACTCCAAAGATAAGCAAAAAGAAGTACTGGATCTCTAACCTCCACAAATTCCTGTTCTCTTGGAAAATTCCCATGTTTCTTAAGGATAGCCCACGCAATATTAGACTAGAAAAATATCCTTTTGCTTTTGTAGATGGGAAACAGATCCCCTTTATTTACAGTCTAGGGAGAAGGGAAGCTGGTACCAAATGGCTGCAATAAATTTGACGATAAAGCCATGGGAAAACCGCAATAGACAAATAAACGATCAGCACTTGTTGCCCATACAGCACTTACCAATCTGGTTGAAGAGCAAGGAAATAATTTTTTACTTGGATTTTATCAATTGTAGTCAGCCCTTCTCTGAATAAAATCGATATTAAACTCTTTTTTTTTTGGACTTCTGCCTTTTCTAACAGCTTTAACGCTGTTGCTTAGTTCTTTTTTAAATTTAATCCTGATTCATTTCACGTTTGTTCTTGTGTTTGAAAAGAAATAGTTTGCCCCGCTTTACTACGAAAATATATCACATAAATCCTCACAAAACTTTCCATATTCTAATTGGTTTCTGACTTTCGCTTCATTAGGGACGTAACTAAACAAGTGAACACGATATCCTGGATTCCTTTTAAGTTGATGTTTGCATGTCTTGTATATGATGGAACCTGTGATATTGGATGTATATTAAGGGTGAAATAGGCCGACCCACCGTCATTCGTTCTTGGCTATAATTGAAGCCTGTAAAATTGCAGGAGCAGTTTAATTTGGTTCGAGTTTCAATAATAATAATTATTATCATTATTAAATTTTGCAATTAATTTATTTGTAATTAGCCAGTTTCTCCTTAGATTTTTAAATTTTTTTTGCCATTGGATGCAGTGTCACCATGGAGTGAGGTCGTTGCAGGTCGCAAGATACTTACAAACGCAGGTAATATGACCTTGGAATCTCCCCACAAAACATTATAGAGATGCCACTAATGTACTTTATCATCGATTCTTTTATGTCTCTATGTCAAGTCTGAAAAAGATATAAGCATTCACAATACTAATGTACTTTATCATCGTTTACAGTACTTTTAATCAGATTTCTAATGATGCAGCTGATTTTATGAGCTTCCTACTGTTTTTCCATACTGTTTTTCATTCATTTAAGCCTAGGCCTGAGGATTCTTCTTTTCACTGACAGTTTACATTTTATCAATTTCAATTCTTAATATTATATTTGTCTTTGGAAAGATAAAGTTACCTTATCTATTTTCCTCTATTATTCAGGGTTTTAAGAAAGTCTACAATGTGTCTGGAGGAATTCATGCATACTCTCTCAAAGTTGATTCATCTATCCCTACCTACTGAGATATTGCCCTTTCGTTTTATTTTCCAACTAAAATTGCAGGACTGAAAGTTCGAGTTATCGGCCTTTGGAATGATTATAGGTACTTTACCCTAATATCATATCATGTATGCTAAGTTCATAAACAACTTCTTTTTCTATGCCATTGCTTGAGTTATTTTGTTATTATTTTTTAATGCCCTATGCTCTTTTAAATTAAAACATAATATTAGATTTTTTAGACATTTTGAAACCTATTCATTATTTTACAATAATTTAGAGATAATTTAGTCTCTAAATGTTAGTAGTCTTAGTTGATTAGATTTTTTTTTTTTAAATAAATATGAAAGCTGATTTTTTTTTAGAATAATAGTTAAAACTAAAATTTTAACTCCAACTCAAAAAACAAAGAAAAATGTTCTCCAAAGTTGGAGGTTGGATCAGAATTTAAATTTAAAAAAAGAAAAGAAAAGAAAAGAAAAGTAGAAAGGAAAAAATCAGTTGAAATGACGCGGGAAACGCTGAGAACCACAAGGCATTGGAAGGCGTTAAGGAAGACTGTGTCAATGGGTTCCTCCTACAATTCCTCTCTATCAATCCTGTGTGTAAGGATCAGTTGTCCTGCCTGTGTTCTCCTCACTTTCCACCATTTTTCTTCCTTTTTTTTCTCTTTTCTTCCCATCATCTCTATACATGGATTTTTCTCTCTCGTTCTCTTTTGGTTCTGCCCCAAATACCAATTCAATCTTGTCTCCTTCAATCGCCCATCCCTAAGCCGCCGCCGCCACCCCCATCCCCGCTCCTCCGCCATGGGCAACTGTTGCTCTCGTGACAATCCCGACGATGCCCCCACCAGCGCGAGGGAGGATTCTAACGGGGATAACTCCAAGGATGATGGCGGAAATACCAACTCCATTAAGCATGCTCCTTCGGCCTCGCCGGTGGCTTCCACCAAGGCTTCTAAGACCTCTCAGATCGGATCTGTTCTAGGGCGGCCGATGGAGGATGTTCGAAACACTTACTCCATTGGTAAGGAGCTGGGAAGGGGTCAATTTGGGGTAACCCATTTGTGTACTCACAAGGCTAGTGGCGAACAGTTGGCGTGCAAAACCATTGCTAAGAGGAAGCTCGTAAATAAGGAGGATATTGAAGATGTTCGAAGGGAGGTCCAGATTATGCACCATTTAACTGGTCAGCTCAACATTGTTGAGCTTAAAGGTGCTTATGAAGATAAGCATTCTGTTCATTTAGTCATGGAGTTGTGCGCTGGAGGAGAGTTGTTTGATCGCATCATAGCAAAAGGGCATTACACCGAGCGAGCTGCGGCATCGTTGCTCAGGACTATTGTGCAGATTGTGCATACTTGCCATTCCATGGGGGTTATTCATAGAGATCTTAAGCCTGAAAACTTTCTCTTGCTGAGCAAGGACGAGACGTCTCCGCTCAAGGCTACCGATTTCGGTTTATCCGTGTTCTACAAGCAAGGTTTGTTCAAGAACCTGACTGTTTCTGTTATACATCTCGCAATGGCTGATGGCTAATGATCTTGTTCTTGTTTTGGTCTGAATGTTGTTGTTCTATAGGAGAGGTGTTTAAGGATATTGTTGGTAGTGCATATTACATTGCACCAGAAGTCTTGAAGAGGAGATATGGCCCTGAAGTTGATATTTGGAGCGTTGGAGTCATGCTATACATTCTTCTGTGTGGTGTTCCACCTTTTTGGGCAGGTAGTTTAATCATTTTACTAATCTTTCTGCTCGGTTTTTTCTTCTCAAAAAAAACCATTTGATCAGAGAAAATTGGATCACAGAATCCGAACATGGGATATTCAATGCGATCTTGCGTGGCCACGTCGATTTTACGAGCGATCCCTGGCCTTCGGTATCCCCAGCAGCAAAGGATCTTGTAAGGAAGATGTTGAATTCAGACCCCAAGCAGAGATTGACAGCCTTCCAAGTCTTAAGTAAGTTCATTCTTGAGCTGAAGTTGAATAAGAAAAGGCCTGCATACAATTATGAACCATCAAGCAATGCCTCTCACCATATCAATTCCTTTTATATCAGATCATCCATGGATTAAGGAGGATGGAGAAGCACCTGATACACCACTCAACAACGCGGTGCTCAATAGGCTCAAACAGTTCCGTGCGATGAACAAATTCAAGAAAGTCGCTCTTCGGGTAAGCGATAACGAACTGTCTGTTCCATGCTAACCCCCACACCAGAAAGAATAAAAGAAGAGACAAGTACTAATAATGTGCCAAATGGGCAGGTGATTGCGGGCTGTCTATCAGAAGAAGAAATCATGGGGCTCAAACAAATGTTCAAAAACATAGATATTGACAACAGCGGGACAATAACGCTTGAAGAACTTAAGCAAGGACTCGCAAAGCAAGGCACAAAGCTCTCTGAATATGAAGTGAAACAATTAATGGAAGCAGTAAGTCTTTGGTTGTCTGATTCCTCTCAATCCAAAATGAGTTTTCATGCTCAAATCTGAATGTTACTTTTGGGGTTTTATAGGCGGATGCCGATGGCAATGGAACCATAGACTACGACGAGTTCATCACAGCGACAATGCACCTAAACCGAATGGATAGAGAAGAGCATCTCTACACTGCCTTCCAGTATTTCGACAAAGATAACAGCGGGTAATGAAATCAAATTCGAGTCGACTTTTGCTAAAGTTTTCACTTTGAAATGAATACAGAATGCCACTAATGATTGAACTTCAAACTATGTTGTGTGTTCAGTTATATCACTACGGAGGAGTTAGAGCAAGCTCTCAGAGACTACGGAATGCACGACGGGAGGGACATCAAGGAGATCCTTTCTGAAGTGGATGCAGACAACGTAAGTTTTCTCAATCACAACTTCGACTGGAAACTGACCAAATGTAACATGTTCTTGAATCTCGACAGGACGGTCGCATCAACTACGATGAATTTGTGGCGATGATGCGAAAAGGAAATCCAGACGGGAATCCGAAAAAGCGTCGTGACTCTTTCAACGTCTGATTTGGTTAATGGTGGGAGTGCAGTGGAGGAGATGACAAGAACTGCTGCCACCTGAATGTTTTGGTCTTCTATGGAGAAACGATGAAGAATATGAGGGTGAATGCAAAGAGAATGGAAAGGGTTGAGAAGCAGAGTCTTTTTATCTCGAGAATGCCATATATTTACAGCGTGAATGGTGGTTCCTTTCAGAGATAGAAAATCGCCATACAAAGAAGAAGAAAGGAAAAGATTAATCATACTCTAATTCTTAGGATTTAAGGGGTGATAGCGGTTCTTGTCCACTTTTAGGCAGACTAATTATTGCTCTAATGGTTGGTTGACTGACTGATTAGAAGAAACATGAATTTGTTCAAAATTGTCTGTTGTATTCATTAAACAGAGAGGCCAATAGTTCTGAACCCAATTTCTGTACAAAATTAAATATAAGGTACCTAAACATTGTTGAGTCGAATTCCGAAGGGATGTACATGGATAACTGTATGATGTTTTATATGAAACTTATATAATATCTAATGATTTATTAATAGGTATTTAGACTAGTTTGCACGCACCTCTACTATTCCATCCATGAAACAACATTTCTGATCCTATTACATTTAGTTGCTAAACTAACTCGAAAGATATTAGATAAACTAACTCGAAAGATATTAGATAAACTAACTCGAAAGATATTAGATGCTAGATGAGCAGAACCATGACTTCAACTCATTTCCTCTTAGTCGAGCCATGAAGACGTCGGGCTGAAGCACTTGAAATTGAGCCATGAAGGGGTATAATCCAATTAATATTTAAAATGTATATCAACCACGTAACTGTACTACAACCACAAAGATGAAAGGGAGAACTTTTGGCAGAACAAGATGCCGTTTTTCTGAATCTTTTCTTTCCAAATGTTCCATAGGAATTCCTGATAGCACACAAATGAAAAGGACTTCCGTACTTAGTCTCCTCAAAACTATGGTGAATGTGAAGAGGTATAACTGAATTGATAGAAGGTACTACCCACAAATTCACTACTTCTATGGTGTACCTGTGCAGGGCAGAAAATCCTCATTAAGGAAATCTTTCTAACAGCATGCCTTCAATATAAAATATGGATCTTCATAACAAAATTCATGGTACTCAATGGTGTGCAAGGGCTTTTCAGATGGCAAGGCACAACAGAAGGTCTGAGACTAAGAGAGGCAGCACACAGAGGATACAAAGAGGGGAAAGAAAGTATAAAAAATCTACGAACATTGTAAAAAAATGCATATTATAAGCGTATGAATATTGCAAATTTAAAAATTTCCACCATCAAAAGCTATAGAAACAATCAAGGAAAGTAGAGCTAGAACAGATGCATCCTGCCCAACATATAGGTTGGTCTCTGATTTGCCCCAGCTTCCTCCATCTTTAACAACAAATACCTTTTTGAGTAACCCAATAGATCCTAGCCATCCAAAGTGCAGACAGATCCCCACAAAGATAGTGCATTGCATCCAACTTTGTCGGACATCCCTTCAAGGGTGTGAAGAAGATTTTCTGGCTGGCTCTAAACATGGTTTTCTTCTGGTTTTTTTGGGGGCAAGAGAAATGGAAGAGTCTTCTGGGGGGTCTTTCTCCACCCTTTTCAGATTAGTCTTACTTTATTGATCCCAAATTGGAGAACTTGCTTGTAATTCACATGCAGGTCCTTGGGGTTCATTCAGTTATTTCATTCATCAATGAAACTTGTTTCTCCTCCAAAGAAAACTATCATTGCAGTTGTCCAGACTTTCAATTTCTATTACAATCCCATATTCACTTTCCTTACACGCTCACGTGCACAAACGCTGGTGTACCATTTCATCAGCTTCTGAAAGAAAACACGATAATCCCATACGATAAATTCTATTGAATGCTTTATGTGCCAAGCCTAACTGGTAAGGTGTCTGAAGGCTGCACAACTCATTGTGATGGCAGAAATCCAATATGCACTATTATTTCAATTAGAAAAGAGCCATCAGACCAACCTTACTGCATTCTCACAAAGTCATAACTTGCACATTAATATCTTGGACGACTACCAAGGTTAACTACCCAAAAAACCCAACCACATAAGATAGACGTAACCCAGGCGAAAAAATCCGGTCAGGCGATAAGAATGAAAGCTAACAATTTGATTACTGTTGACGAAACCTCTAACGAAGAAGTCAATTACGCATACAGAATCAAGCCATGATCAGGAAATATAGAGACTACATGAAAAGTACTGCCAACTTAAGCAAAGATGGTAATCAGTGCCCACACATGACCAAAACTTAAGTCAAATAATACAGCTATGAAACCCTAGAAAGAGATAGAGAGAACTTCACGTTACAAACAATTCGACTAAATTCCAATATTACTCGAGAAAATTCCAAGAAAAAAAAAAGCTTCATATTACACCTTTTACTTATCTTTCGTAGAAACCCCGTACTTCTCCTGCATCCTAGCAATTTCATCCTCTTTCTTCTTCTGATCGAACTTTTTACTCATCTTGGCCTGCTGGTAGTACAACACGATCAGATACCGATTCGCAACGTTGAAACCGGAGAGATGATCCACCGCCGTCTTAGCATCATAGATATCCTCGTAAACAACAAAGGCGGTACCTCTAGTATCTTTGTTCGTTCCAATCCGGATCTGCCGAATCGCCCCGTACTTGCCGAATATATCGTACATCTCCTCGCTAGTAATGTTGAAGGGCAAATTACGTACATACAAAACTCTGTTGACCTCCGGCGGCAGCCTCGTGTTTCCCTTGCGAGGAAGACTGAATGTGGCCATGGAGGAAGGCTTCTTCGAGGCTGTTTGGGAGAAGATAGTGCGAGAAAGGTCGAAACGCGAGAGATGAATGTTTTGTGCCGTTTAAAACTTGGATTGTCGTATACATAATGTACTCAACTTTGAAAACTTGGAGACATGGCCCAGGCCCAATTACCAAAGGACTTGGCCCATTTATAATGGGCCTTCTCAATTTGTATGGGCTTAGATAGTCAAAAGAAGTAAGTGAGCTGGGCCCGACTTCGGTCCATGGACAACCAGCTTGTTACCCACTTTCATAGAAAAACCACCAAATTTGGGTTAAACCGAAATTTTGACTTAATATGTGGATTGACTTTTTTTGATGTTGGGTCAACTCAACCAACCCAAAAATAGGGTTACAATCCAACTCTATTTGTAACGGTCTAAGGCCATCGTAAGCCAATATTGTCCACTTTAGCTTATTAGGTATTATCATTAACATAACGGTTTTAAAGTGTGTCTGTTAGGAACACTGTCTTACCTTATTTTTAGAAAGAGTAATAATTAACGCTAGTGATGAATTGTGACTAATAAATATATAATATTTAAATTTTATGAGTTTTTTTTTTTTTTTTTGTTATTAATGTATATGTACGGTGGATAAGTAGATTTTTTTAAATAATTAAAAAAAAGACAACCCTATGATCCAACCTAAAAATAAGAAATTTGATTGAGTTAAGTTGAATTGTAAACTCTATTTGAGTTGCTCCGATCATCTATCTAACAAATTTGAAATTATTAATATAAATATGATGAGGTAATGACAAGATCTCCCCTACTTTCACGCTAAATAAAGGAGAGATCTATTTTAATTAAATAGTTTTTTTTTTTAATTATCCTTTTTTAGATAAAGGAGTTGGTGGTGTCCAATTAGGATGTCCCTATTTTGGAGTTGTTTTTATTTAGAGCAAAAATATATAATAAAGAAAAAAGATGGAAAATTTTTATTGGAAGATTTTGTACCAATTTTCCATTCATTTTCATTTTAATTCTCCCTTCCCCTCTCTGTTGCAGGTCTTCCACCTTCCCCTCTCCTCTTGAGACTCCATGGATACTCGAGCGGAGGTCAGCATTTCAAACTCTTTTCTCGCTCGAATCTTTCTCTCTCTCTAAATATTCTTTAAAAATAAAATAAAAATTATCTTCTGATTCAAATTTTTGATCTTCCATTCTATTTTTTTTAAAAGTTTTTATTGTTTAGATTACGCTTTTGAATCTTCTCATTTTAATTCATGTACTTTTGAATCTTGTAAAGGTTTATAAGCTACTTTGGAGTAAGAACTCAACAAAATATTGAATGAAAAATCATTGTAGTAATGGTCGAACATCATAACGATGAACACTTACTTTGATTAAGTCTAAAAATAACGATATGCAAATAGGTAACTTTTCATCCAATGTTGTAAGCTTTTTTATACCATGGTAGTTTCAATACATCTACGAAGGACATATTTGTAAGTGATCTTGAAATGATTGAGATCCTCTTTACACTACTAAAAATATGTTTAAAAGAATGTTTCCGAGTAATTTTGAGTACAACAAAGTTATTTTCACCATTAATAAGAGAAACAAATTTAAAGTATTTTATAAGATCCCACATCAGTGGGAGAAAAGATAATTTCTTACGAGAGTGTAGAAACCTCTCCCTAAAAGACGCATTTTAAAATTATGAAGGTAACGACATTACATAACGAGTTAAAGCAGACAATATCTACTAACGGTGGACTTGGACGGTTACAATTCTTTCTATAACGACCAATTTTTTTCCTTTTTTTTTTCCTTTTTTACCCTTTTTTTACCGTAATTCAAGAGAATCCTTGTATTTTATTAGAAAAAAGCACCAAAATGGATACAAATCAATCAAAATCACAAATTAAAAAGCTGAAAGTTTTGTTGGTGTGTGTGCGTACAGAAAAACAATAGGTGGAAATCTGTACCAGAGTTTGGAGGGTGGGATCACAACGCACCTGGGGCAAGCAATTATTCTGTTGTATTCTCTCAAGCTCGTGCAAATAGGAAACAGCAAAAAACTGACTTAACTGAGTTCAAAAGAGCTAGCCTTGGAAATGAGAGGGAGATGATGGCAATGACAGATAAACATCTTCGCCAACAGAACCACCACCACCATCGCCACCACCGCCACCACAGCCACCACAGCCGCTATGAACACCACCCACAATATCAACATCGTCTTCGCCCCCACCAGCACGACCCTGTTGTCCCGGTAAGCACTTTCATATGCTGCATCGCCTGTTCTTTTCCTACCTTAATCTCTAAAACAGATCTTTAGCTGACTAATACAAACTTTAACTCAATCAAGCAAAGCTAAATTGAACAATAAATTGCATACATACATCTAATCCTTGCTCTTTTATTTCTCTTATTCAGCAGAAGAAAAAGAAGATTCTGACCTACATCAATTGTTGTATCAGGCCTTGATATGCGACAAAGGCGACCCACTCCTCTATGTTTTAGTCAAATCACGCTGTTTATCTGAATCTTTTTTCCCTGGCATGAAAATGTAGAGATGAGACATGTTCATCATACGGATAATTGCATCAACTTCCCCCAACCTGTATCTTGTTTTGGTTCTTTAGCATATAAAACATGGAACCTTGAATATATATCTTATTTCATGGGGCATAACATGACAAGTAAATTATCCTATAACATAACTACATAAAACCCTGTCCGGTATCTTAAAGAGAAGTTGCTATAGATATACATGGTGGATATAGGCCATGCAATCTCAGTTATTCCGTCCACATCATCTATTCTACCCTTTTTCACAAACTATGATGAGTGAAGGTTTGTGGACTGAGAACGTTTCACCGGAGCACGGAGTGAGGACAGGTACTGAGCATCTGCCTTTCCAATTCCATCAAACAAATAGCTAAAAGCCGGCATCTCTATGTACTTCCCAGCACCTGGAACAACTTTTAGTTCATTGTTTTCCCAAACAATTCTTCCTCCAGAAATTGTCACTTCAACCTTTCCCTGTGAAAAATATACACGTTTTTAAACATAAATAGATTACTGTGCCCAGAACGTTGTGTAAATACGCATGTGATGACACAAAGAGATCAAACCGCTCAAATATGGACATGCATGTGTGGAGAAGTTAATGTTCATGTCAAGTTGCGTACACCAAAAATGATCTATTGGACATGTATCTTGGTTTTGAAAAAGAAGTCAGGACCAAGAGGTCTTTATACGGAGGAAAATTACATGCAAACAATGTGGTAGGAATTCACTCATTCAAGTACTCTTTCAGCTCACAATATAATTCAATAGGTTTGAGCTTTCCCACTCTTTTCTTAGAGCTCCTCCCTTTTCTCCACTACAACTCTGTTTTTTTGTCGCTCCTAACTAACTAAGTATCCACCAGAAGGTTGTTACTAGCTGAGAACTAACTTCCCCCCCTAGGTTGTTTAATAGGAAAGAAATGAACACAAAATTCTTGCGGTTATTTGGCCACAAAAATCAAATGTCAAAAAGGTCAAGCCTTTCCACCATGGTCCATAACAATCTAGAGAAATGGCATCCAAATAATAAATGACAATTTTGTAGAATATTGAAGATGTTTGAACCCATAGCACAATAGTCAAAAGAAAACATGAAGACAATAGCAACCAAAGGTAATTAGAAACGTCGATTGAGTTAATGATACCAAACTTATGAGTTATGATTTATGAATGAACTGTTCATAAAGATGTTGAGGTAGTTTTGGTTCTCAAAGCCTAACATAAACTTAATCACCACGCTATCCATGCATGCCTCTTAAAGTTAAAGCACAAAGTAGACATAAAGCAAGCACAAACCACACAAGTCCATAGTCATAAGAGAACTGCAGTATGGTATACAGACCTTTCCTCTCTTTCCGTCGTAGACATTCGTGTCAGATCTAGTGTGATGCGACTTTGCAGATATTTCAAAACTTGCATTTGGGTTGAGTATAATTATGTCTGCATCAGACCCAGCAAGAATCGCTCCTTTCTTTGGGTATATATTGAAAATCCTAGCACTGAGCAAATAGTAAACGATAAAACAGATTGTATTCGACTTTCTAAGAGTGTATTTGACTTTCTAGAGTAATTTTTTAAGTCAAGCATTTTATCTATAAGCCCTTCCAAAGAAAACAATGATTTAAGTGCTAAAGCTTTATTTTTATATATATTTAGAAGTTTCTTTTGGTCATGTATCCAAATACTTTAGAAACAACTGTCAGTGCAAAAATTATACAAAACTACTCTAAGAATAAGGACAAGTTCCTCCAGAGATCATAAAATAATGACAAGACCACATACCATTCTTACTCTTTTTTTTTCTTCTTAGAAAGATACAAATTGAATACAAACTTTTGTTGATCACTGAAAAGAAAGAAAAAAATGCAATTCAAACAAGACCACATACCATTCAGTGCTTGTAATCCGAACGTAATCACTGACAGAGATTTGACCAGACTCCTGAATGTAAGTGATTTCTGGAATGAGATTCTTGAGAAAATTCAAACTTAACTGCATATTCAGAAAGAATAAAACAAATGCACATACAACTTACCACCATCGTATCCCATACCAAATGCATTCTTTCCTCGATGCCTGAAGATTACAAGTTGTCAGATACGGAAGCAAAGAAAGTAGCATACGGAAGCAAAGAAAGTAGCATACCTGAATAGGATAAGCGTTAAAACCAGATTCTCAAGATTTCATATTTGATTGTTAATACTGACCACCTAATATGTAATGTAATATCTATAGGAAAATAAAAAGAAGAAAGAGAGAGGGAGAGTGTAATATCCGTAGAAACTACCATTGACACCGTTAGGAATTTTTCGAAAGTCATCAATTCCTACGGCCTTCTGTGTAGAATTAAAGACGCAGTGATCGGTTCCCACAAGCTGCAAATTTTAAGAAGCTCGTTGAGAAATAAACTTCATCTAAACATGACAATTTAAAAACGTTGTGATAATGTACCTACCTGTTAAGGTAACAGTACTAAAATATTTTTTGGAGATCTTAATTTTTGACAAGTACATGCAAACACGCGCGCGCACACACACACACACATTCAAAGTAAGAACCCAAAACTGAAGCTGTAAATCGAAGCGTTCTGAAATTTGCATGATAGCACTATGAATGTTGATTTGTCGGGCATTTTCAATAACAGAAATTGCAAATGTTCCATCTTCTTAGTTATAATAACCTGCAGAATTCCAGTTGAAAGGGCTGCTTGAAGGGCCTTATCATGCCCCGATGGTCTAATAGGAGGACTCATGACATACCTGACGCATGATACAGTCATAATGTTAGACTGCTTGCTTGAAAGAAACAAAATAGTGATAAGAATAAGGTTATGAAAGAAATACTAGAATAGCATAGTAGTTACTTTGCTGCGTTAACAAAGTCAGGATCCCAAAGTACAGAATCATCTAGAATTAACCCAGACACAACTGGCTCTCCGATAACCCTCTGCCCTGCAGTTTAAAAGAAAAGTTATCCATCTGGCCAAGAAAAATAGACTATCATATAGCACAGAAATAACACCAACAGAGAAGGATCATAACAATTTGTGAGGAGAAAAAAATAGAGGAGCCAGTAACAGATGGCAGCCAAAAAATTATACATTGTTTTACTAGCACTGATCTTTTGACAATCTATAATTTCGGTCCTCTATTTTTCCATGGCCAAATTATAAATTGTTTTATGAGCAGGTTCCATATTTTCTGGTTGAATTCTGACGCTTGTATGAATTATCATAGAATGTTTTGTAATAAATTAACATCGTCTTTTGTACCAGATATATATACCACAAAGTACATTTTAAAACATAAAATATGGCACCTGCTTTCCGAGCTCTGGCTATTTCTTCCATTGCATCAATGCTCATAACATGAACCACATATAGAGGAGTGTTCACAAAACTAGCCAAACGTATTGCACGGGAAGTTGCCTCTCCTTCTAACTGCATTAATTTCAAGCACACATAAAGAAAGAAATACCCGTCAATGGAGAGTGGAAAATAAATTGACAAAGTAGTCCATCAAGTACCCATGAATTCAACCAGAGAAATAAGCAGTAAAAAAATGTACATAAAACTGTAAATTCATTCAGAAGGTCCATCAGTTTAAAACGTATTTTTTTTAAATTACCACAGCAGGTCGTGAAAGAGCGTGTCCCTCTGGACCAGTTATACCAAGTTCAATCATTCTCTCCTGTCCTTCGTATACAGCATCACCATTTTCAGCATGTACCATGGCCAAGGCACCAAGAGATTTGCACTTCTTTAACCCTTGTAATAAGAGCTCGTCACTGATCATTAAAGCCCCTTTGTATGCTAGGAAGAACTTAAAAGAGTTTATCCCTGCAAGTCCGAATATGTGAAGAATGAATATTGATGAGAAAACTTGTAATGACATTTCAAGGTGAAGGCAATTTGATCCACGGTTTATTGGTTTAAGATGAAAAATAATCACTAACCCTTCTCCTTCACCATAATTTCCATTTCCTGTGAAACAACTTCGTCCCATTTTGTGATTGCCATATGAAAACCATAATCCATGCAAGATTTCTTTGCTTTTTTCTCGTATGTTTCAAGCCCTGCTGATAGACTTCCATTCACTGGTATAACAAAGTCAATGTGCATGGTCGTTCCACCAGCTAATGCTGCAGCCTGACCACTGAAGAAGTCATCAACTGTCTGAGTACCCATAAACTCGAAAGCAAGATGTGTGTGAGGATCAATTCCTCCTGCCAGAATTCCAGGGGAAGAAAGCTGCAATCAATCACCACCAAAATGTACCACATGTTTTGCTGATTCTGACGTTCGATATTAACTAAAAAACTGAAAGTAAACTGGTTCAAATACTCCCGATGGAATAAAACGCTCTTTTAAGCATGTAATATTCACATGAAAAAAGTAGAAGTGCGTATCGAGGACAAGATTCAAGAGCTTCTCTCTCTCCCAGAATCCTCAAGCCAAAAAGTGCCTCTCAACACACACAAAGCTACATCATATAGCATACTAGCTACTCACGCCCTTCCCCTCATTTATAATTATACTAAAGAAATTTATTTTTCAGTTTCAAGGGATAAAAGTTTCCAACTAAAGGAAACATATCAAGCTATGCATATTTCATGCATACAAATTTAACAAGGCTACAAAATACTCTGATAAACTCCAATGAGATCATATTTCTTGAAAATTTTACAAGAAAGGGGGCCTCGAGGATGCAGTTGAGTGCGATAACCAGGTAAGATTGAATTGCCTAGACAAATCCTTCATTAAAATTGATATCCATACTCCTATAACATACTTCAGTAGCATAAATTCAGGAAACCAGAATCATTTGTAATTTAACCTGGCATGACATATTTTCCAGTGGCATCTAGCACTGCAACATCATCCCCGACCTATTATTGGCAATTAAACGAGTTAATAGTGGACACATAACATGCACAGAAAAAATTATTAAAATATAAATGACGGCATAAGTAAGGAACTGTTGAGCATGAATGAAGAGTAGGCTTTACTCTGCAGATAATAAGATTTTTAAAAGATAATGACAAAAGGCAATTCAATAGCACTGATCGAAGCACGAAGGAAACCGAAATTCTTTTGCAGGAAACGCGCTGTCGCAACATTAGGAACAAGTCAACTTCGCCATGAATATGCACGGCCTCCGATTAGTGATAGAAGATCGCATTCATAACCAAATCTTTTGAATTCACAAACGATCATTACAGACAACTGATTTCGCCTTAATGTTAATAAGGAATACCTTGATATTAGGCTTCACGGCAATAATAATCCCGTCTTCCACATAAACATCAGCAACCTCCTGATGATGAGCATTCACAACAGTTCCGCCCTTAATCAGTAGCTTCGACGATGACGTAGTGCCACATGTTGACTCATCAAATCCAAGCCCAGCATCACAGAGCTGACAAAACGATAAACAAAAGACGACATGATAAAGAGATTAGAGTTTCGGAAATTGTAATCGCAAGTCCAATTGATTTGGAGAAAAATTATTAAGCGTTGGGTAAAATCTTGGCCATATAACACGAAGAACTCCGTATTTCTCTTCGTCGATCAATTAAACACCCCATATTTCTTCATTTTTCTCGTCTACCGATCAGAAGTCAACCGTAAAACAAATGTTAATCAAGAGTACCTGATCTGCGCGGGAACATATTGAAAAAATGAGGAGGACAAGAAATAAGAGCCAAGGTCGCTGGCTGACCGACTCCATGAATTTCAGCGTACCGATGAACTGAAGCTTCATCAAACGCTCACAGACCAACTCGGAGTGGGAGTATTTCTGATCAAAAGGCACAATTTCCCGGGAATATCAGATTAATATATAGAGTTAAAAAATCACATTTTGTCCAAAAAAATGTATCAATTATCCATTTAATAATATATATATATATATATATATATATTTTTTTTTTTTTTTTTTGCAACGGTATAATTGGGAACTAAATCATTAAGGGATAAAAGACAACACATAATTTTTTTTTTTTTTTTTTGCAACGGTATAATTGGGAACTAAATCATTAAGGGATAAAAGACAACACATAATTTTTTTTTTTTTTTTTTGCAACGGTATAATTGGGAACTAAATCATTAAGGGATAAAAGACAACACATAATTTTTTTTTTTTTTTTTTGCAACGGTATAATTGGGAACTAAATCATTAAGGGATAAAAGACAACACATAATTTTTTTTTTTTTTTTTTGCAACGGTATAATTGGGAACTAAATCATTAAGGGATAAAAGACAACACATAATTTTTTTTTTTTTTTTTTGCAACGGTATAATTGGGAACTAAATCATTAAGGGATAAAAGACAACACATAATTTTTTTTTTTTTTTTTTGCAACGGTATAATTGGGAACTAAATCATTAAGGGATAAAAGACAACACATAATTTTTTTTTTTTTTTTTTGCAACGGTATAATTGGGAACTAAATCATTAAGGGATAAAAGACAACACATAATTTTTTTTTTTTTTTTTTGCAACGGTATAATTGGGAACTAAATCATTAAGGGATAAAAGACAACACATAATTTTTTTTTTTTTTTTTTGTGATATTATTAAATTATTAAATACTAAATTTTATGAATTATGGATTTTATTCAAGAATAAAAAATATTTTTGAGACAAAAATGATATTTTTATTAATTTATTTAGGTATATATTCATACGCACAAATATAATCTAGCCTAAATAAATTCACTCCCCGGGCGTCCGTTCCCTATAGAAGTCCACAACCGCGCCTCAGTGACCTTTTTCCCTCTAGCGGGTTCGCCGGCGTCGGCCATCGTTCTCAAGTTGCTGGTTTCACTGCACGTCTTCTCCATTGATCTTTGATCCTTTTTTCTTATTTGTTTGCGGAACGTTCGGGTGCTATCCTTGCATGTGAAGACGCCTAGTTACTTTAGCAGTAGGTTTTGATGGAATCGCTGTTAGGATTTGAAGAAGTACCAGTGGAGACTGAAGAAGATAATTCGTCGACGTACAGCCGAAAATTGGTACCCTGGTCGACTTGGAGCGAGTGGCTTTTTGTTAGTCAATCACTCTTCTCTGACTCTTCTGACTCCGTCGCCGCCGCTCTGGGAAGAGTAAGCTTACTTTCTAAGGATAGTTACTCGACCTATCTCCGCCGCATGTTTTTTCTCCATTATGCTAATTCTTGAAGTTACATTTCAGTCTGTAATTGTAAATTTCAGTATGCTGCACTTTTGTAACCGGCTTGATTACGTTAGATTCTCCATGATGCATGTAGCCAAATTTCCTGGTCTCAGTACCCTCCATCCATCCTTTTCTGGATTCGAGGTGCTAGTTTTCTTATTTGTGGCTTACGTGTTTTGTTTTTGAATCTAGATATCAACATGGAGAAGCAGAGGCTGTCTTCCAGTCGTCGTTGAAGTGACAGCATCTATAATCGAAATCCAACAAAAGGATCCCTACTTCACGTATGCTTCAATTCTCACTTTTCACCAACTTCTTTTGTGGTTATATTCACCAATTATACTGTTTCCTACTCGAGCTATTTCCTGTAGTTCTTTACCGTCATGTTTGTCAGCTTTCGTACCATGTTAAAAAGGAGAATGAAAGTGGAAGCGCACATTTTGAGATTAGAATTTACGAGCGATAGTTTTAATTTCAAAACAATTAATTTTAATTAATGGTTATTCAATAGATCGCTAACAATCAAGTTGTGTATTGACCATTTCCTTCTTTTGGGTCTGTCAGTAATATTAACGAACGTTACCATGTGTTTGAGTACAGATACTTTTTGAATCCAAGATTATATGGTGTTTTTATGTGGAAACTACTATTGGCATTCATTAGTTTCTGTTATTCATTCGTTGTAGAAAGAACCAATCGGTGGATGCTTCAGTTCGTGGTACAGAGGAACCATTAAATAGTGTTTCACTTTCAGAGGAAGCGTTAGCCATGTTATATTGCATGGCCATTATGAGGTAATTTTTTTTTTCTTTTATTGTAAGTTACGAGGTGAAATTTCTTAATTTTTTACTCTTTATTCTGACCCTCTAAGTCTGATTAACTAAAGATTATCATATGGTGAACTTTTTTTGTATTACGTATTAAAAAAGTAGTGTTGCTGTTAGTTTTTAAGACGAATACTGAAGTATCAACCTATTGGTGCAAAGTTCTCGCTTCCTAGAATGTCAATGCCATTGTTCATTTATATGACTTAGTTTTAGGGAAGTATTTTGAATTTTATGGTCTCGAACTGATTACATGAAATCCAGAGTAGCCATATTGAAAATACAGTCAATTATATTGTTGAAATGTGTCTTCCGTTAACCTATTCGCATTAACTGTACAAGTCTGTAGTAAGAGGTTCCATAACATGAAAATACTCATTCGACATGCTTCACTTTGGACTGATTGAAGTAAGTTAAGATAGAGCTTGCTGAAGGTAAACATTTCTTCTGAAGAATCACAAAGAACTCACTGCATTCTTTGTTTTAAAGGCTTGTAAATGGTGTTGTTGAGAAGACACGCAAGAAAACAGAGGTTTCAATTGCTGTGGCAGCTGATGCTATTGGTTTGCCTCGTGTACTGATTGATATTCGTCATGGTGAGTACCACCAAAGATCATTTTGTGTGCTATTATTCTTTTTTTTTCTTTCCAGTTTTATGAGCTTCTTTCTCAAAGTTATATGATCTTCGTATATATGCTGCAAATGTGACAAAACCACTTGTCAGTTGTACTGTTCTTTGATTTTTTTGCAACATCATCCATTCTCAATAATAGGTTGCCTATAATTAATTGATTGTAATTAGTTTTATATTTCTCTTGGCAATGATTATAGAGGGTTCTCATCGTGAACTTCCAGCTCTTCAGGTGGTTCGGTGTGCCTCAATCAAGGTATGACTTTGAAGTATGAACTCTTAACATTCTTGTTTTTTCACATTTTAATGGCTTTCAACTTTATTTGCTCCTTTTCTTTTTAATGATTAATCTCTATTTATGATAGTTTCACTTAGCATCATTCAAAGTGGAATAATAAATCATTAACAAATTTACAAATGTGCCTGTTCTATCCTTTCTGCATTTCGTTTGCGGCAGTTTGTACTTGAATATATCATTTCTCTATAGATTTTTTTTTAAACAGTAGAAGATTAACTGAGATGGGAAGTAAACTGAAGCCTTCTTGATTTTTGGTGATTTCAGGCACTTCATTGGTTGAAATCTTATTATTGGGAACCTCAGGAAAAAGCAATTCCATTTCTAGGTGATATAAGTACTACCATTAGAAAAGAAATCAAATCCAGACTTCGTGATTTGGCTTTCAACTTAAATGAGAAGCAAAATTCTCAACGTGGATCAGTGGTCAAGCCAAAACGTACGTGTTTATTTTCTCCCTTTTAAAGGCCATATTTTATATTTTACTTTTTTTATTACTATCGTAATGTGTCTTAAATGGTTTTGTTTCTAGTTTTAACTAATTTGTGGCTGACTTGAATTTCATCTTAAATGGGAGATCTTGAGATGAGACAGATTATTAAGGATTGCTAGATCAATACTATTGCATCCAACAATAGACAGGAGGAGGAGATAATTATTGAATTTTCTAGTCTTGGTTAATGGCATGGTGTTTTTGGCTTTCCATGTTGTTCAAATAAGGATATTTACTAGTTATTTTTTTCTTTTTGAAAAGAATTAGAAGTTTCATACCCACCATGGGTTAACTTAGGCTTATAAAAATGCCCGGTAAATAGTAAAAGACTTTGAGGGAATGAGTTCAAGTTATGGTTACCACCTATTAAGGGTTTAATATCCTATAGGTTACCTTTGTAATCAAATGTAGTAAAGTTGGACAATTGTTCCATTAGAATAGTCGAAGTGCTTATAAACTAGCCTAGACACTCACAGATATCAAAAACGAAAAAAGAAAAAGAAAATAATTAAGTGGTAAATAATCCAATCCAAGAATCTCCAAGGACTTTTAGGGATTGAAAGGAGGTTTGTTCATTGGCTAGGTTTAACACTTCTAACTCAACATCGGTCTCCAAGTATTTTTGTAATTACCTGTAGGTCTTATTCTTGTAAATTAGAGCCTCCTTTTGTGTAGTTGGTTATTCGGCCACTCTGGTTTGGGGTGTCTTTCTATGTCAGTTGCATTTCTATTTCATATTCTCATACTTCTCTATGAAAGCGAGGTTTCTCATTTGAAAAAAAGAAATTAAACCAAGAACTGCACCTCTGTAGAAGCAAAGCTTGTTTAAAAATCTAGCTTAGAATTGCTTCCGAACTTAAATAAATTCTGAAGAGATTGCTGAAATAATTGAAAAGAGTACACCATGGGGAAGATTGATAATAAGATCAATTCTCTCTTGCCTTCTTGAAAACACGTCGATTCCTTTCTAACCATCCCCCAAAGTTTTAACTGTGTTGACCCGTAACACTCTTGCTTTCCTTTTCAACATGCCACCTCAAAGAAGATGATGTATTCTTTTTGGCATTCAAATAAAAAACTCATGAGCACCCATAACATTAGAGGTACATGATGGAGGACAACGGAAAGAAGTACAATTAATATATTCCCCTGCCTCTAAGAGAGCATACAACCATTGAGATTCAATGTACAAAAGGTACATCGTCTCTGTACTTTGATCACATATTACAATCTAAAGTGGTACTTTACTGATAGATGATCCATAGTTTCTCCTCCTTTTTTATTAACCCCAATTCCAAAAGGTACATTGTCTCTGTGAACCTTGGGAGATAAGAATTGGGAAATTTAGGGGCTCGTAACGAAGCCCTACTAGCTAAATGGCTTTGGCGGTTCCCTCTCGTGCCTG